TGGGTTTTTATTTAAAAAAAAAAAAAAAAAAGTAGAGCTGAACTTTTATAAAATAAAGTGGAGATGGCTGGGCTTTTATAAAATAAAGAAAGCAGAATAAATAAATGAAAAATAATTAAGATTCAAACAAATAAACAGATAAATAAATAAGAGCTGGGTATTTTAAAGTAGAGCTATGCTTTAAAAAAAAAAAATTAATAAATACATAATTAAATTACATACTTAAAATAGATAGGATGATGTGATTGATGGTGGATTTACACAGTGAGAGTTTTTTTTGCTTTTTTTCTTAATGAAAGGACCAGTAAATAAATAGGGGTGGGTGACATCACTGGCTGCTAAAGACATGGAGGGTGTTGGAACCCTTGGAACACATTGATGCTTCTCCTCAACATGCTCAGCCACCTCCAGTGGCGGAACCCTTGGAGTTCTCTCTCCCTGGTTGAGAAACCTTCTTTATATTTATTGCTCTGTATGTTCCAGGATGGGAGCCTTGCTAGACTAGAGTAAGGTCTCACACAGTACAGAATGGGCCTTTAAAGTAATTCTCAAGGCAGAAGGTTTTTTACGTTAATGCATTCTATGCAGGGGTGGACTGACCAATCGAGCACTTGGGCAGTGCCTGAGGGCCCGGGGTCAGTAGGGGGTCCCATGAAATGCCTCTGGTACCTTTTTATAGGCTTTTTTGAGTGTGGGCAAGGATACAGGGGCTCCATGATCCCCTATTGCCTGGGGGCCCCATGAGTTGTCAGTCCGCCCCTGATTCTATGCATTAAGATAAAAAAACCATCAGGGTATAGCTCCCACCCAGCACCCCCTTATACTTACCTGAACCCCATCTCGATCCAGCGATGTGCATGAGAGCAGCAGCTTTCCCGGGTCTCTCTCTTTTCATTGGCTCACGCAGAAGCTGGAGCCATTGAATCCTTCTGTTGTCAATCACAGTCAGTGAGCCAATGAGGAGAGAATGGGGGGGGGGGGGGGGCCGAGCCATGAAATGCAAATTAAAAAACAAATGAAAGAACAAAAAGAGGGCGCACCGGCCTAGTGCATTATCGTTTAAAAATATTTATTGAAAGAATAAAAAAGTAGGTATCATACTCACAATGGACATATAAGACATAGGCATATCACAATTAACAAAGGTGCTCAATCCATACAGCATCTGAGTCCACAATGATGGAACCCTGGATGACCAGCTATCTGACGCGTTTCAAGAACTCAGCCTCTTCCTCAGAGCGATGTGCACGAGAGCAGCAGTCCTTCCCGGGTCTCTCTCTTTTCATTGGCTCACGCAAAAGTGGGATCCATTGGATCCTGCTGTTGTCAATCACAGCCAGTGAGCCAATGAGGAGAGAGTGGGGGGGGGGGGGGTCGAGCCATGCATGCTCTGTGTGTAAATGGACAATGTCCATATGCAGGAACATGGCTCGGGAGTGAGCCTGCTCCAGTGTCCCCATAGCAAAAAGCTTCCTATATGGGGCATTCGGCAGGGGACTACTCTGTGCAAACCCTCACATGGAGCAGGTAAGTATAAAATGTTTGTTATTAAAAAAAAAAAAAATGCAACCTTTAGAATCACTTTAAGGAGTGCTGGCTATTTCTTTAAGGCAGAAGGTTTTTTACCTTTATGCATTCTATACATGAAGGTAAAAATAATCTTCTGCTAGCAGCTCCCCCACAGTCCCCCTAAATACTTACCTGACCCCAATCTCAATCCAGTGATGTGCATGAGAGCGTCTTTTTTTGGCTCTGTTCATTGGCTCCTACTGCTGTCAATCACAGCCAGAGAGGAGGGGGCAGGGAGGAGCCAGGAGCGCTGGCAGGGGGCCCAAGAAGAGGAGGATCGGGGTTGCTCTGTGCACAACCATTGCACAGAGCATGTAAGTATAACTTTTCTAATATAAAAATGAGCCTATAGAATCACTTTAATTTGCATGTATACAGTGCCACCTGTGACTGGCAATGACACCAGGCTTCCCTTAGCAACATCCTAGAAGTTTTCCAGTCAGACTTCTTGAGGTACATGAATGGCCTACACCTATAGCAAGGGCTTTATTCCACTCTGTCAAAGCTGCACAGCTTGTTATTATCCACAGATGTGCCCTATCTGCATAAGCAGTTTTTTTGTAAAGGAGACCTTTGCCTTTAATGAAAGGATAACTAAACCTAAGAACACAAATGCAATATATAGCAGCTTACAGACCTTATATGTGTTGGATGCATTTGCTTTATTATTTTTAAGTGAAGAACATTTTTATACAAATAACCAGGGCTTATTTCAGCGGGAACGTGGGGGAACACAGTTACAGCACCTCCAGCACCGAATGTAGGTAATGGTAAAGGGTGCTGGGATGTGTTGGAAGGTCTATTGATGCTGGCTGCTGGGGGATCTATTGTTACTGAAGGGGATCTTTTTTTTTGTGTGGTGGTCTATTGCTGTGGGAAGGTCTGTTGTTGCTGGTGGGGGTTCTATTGTTGATGGGGGGCAAATTGTAGCTGGAAGGGCTCCACTGTTGAGGTAGGGGGCTATTGTTGCTGGCTGATGGAGAGCCTATTGATGCTGACTGCTGAGAGATCTGTTGTTGCTGCTGGAGGTCTACTGTTTCTAGGATGGTATTTTGTTGTGGGGGTCCATTCTTGCTAAGGGAATCTATTGTTGCTGGGGGGGGGGGGGGGTCCATACAAATTACTTAGCAACACAAAATAATACTCAGATCTGCATTTTTTAAAGGAGCAGTAATGGGAGGTAGGTAGGGGGTTGAACCAATGGACGGTGCTCGGAGGTAGGTGGGGAGTGGAGACAAGAAGCAACTCAGAAGGGGGAGTTCCTGCACCTATTCGTGGAGAAAAAAAAGCCCTGCAAATACCTGCTGATCTTACCAGACATGCAATGTCCTTGTCGCTTCCTGTGAGCCAAACAGAATAATATCTTTCTTCCTCGATATCTTCTGGAAACTACTAATTGCCCAGCCCCCATATAATGAAGGTGGAAATGTATGGACCTGTGTTTAGTATATATCAAGAAAGCAGCCTAGCGTGACTACCATGGAATCTGGAAATGGAAGAATGAAAAAAATTTTTCCAACCGCAAACACTTATAAATGTGTTTAGAGACGTTTACATGCATTTACAAGCATTTGAAATGCTGATAAAATCTACTCCTGAATGCAAGTTTGGTGCGTTCAAAAAAACGACTGTAAACTCAACTGTCTGTAAACAACTGTAAACGACTCTGTGTACATGGACAAGCTCCTAAACGTCATCAGCTGCAGTGTACATGGAGCCTTAAATGTTGAAAGCAAAAAAGATTCAGTTAAAAAGAAAGCTTTTTTTTCTAACTCCTTAGCACTTATCGAAAGGTCAGCTAATGAAAATCATTGCCTTTGTTTGAACCTGTATAAATCAGAATTTGTTTTAATTTGTATAAAATGGCAGATTAGTGTTTGACAATTCCTAAACTATTCCTTATAAGCCTCTTTTTACTATAAAATTATGTAGTATATGCAGGGGCGGACTGACAACTCATGGGGCCCCCGGGCAATAGGAGATCATGGGGCCCCTGTGTCCTTGCCCACACTCAAAGCACACCCAAAAAAGCCTATAAAAGGTACCAGGGGCATTTCATGGGGCCCCCTATTGATCCCCGGGCCCTCGGGCAGTGCCCAAGTGCTCGAATGGTCAGTCCGTCCTTGAGTATATGTAACACTGCACTTCCAAAGTACATGCAAGAACTGTAAGAAGTCCTACCTCCTGTCAGTAGAAACAACAGTTCATACATATGTTCCATTTGTCCCTTGTATAAACATGAGGAACTCTTTACATTACATTACTTAGAAAGTATTGCCTTACAAGTCAAAAGGAAACTCTGGGGCAAGAAATAAGGAGGAACATAGCAGAATAACTACTGTGATCCTGATCTACAGCAACCCCCTCCCATGAGCCTCTTTATTCTGCTGTAATGTATAAGGGTTCATGTACACTGCAGCTGATAAACTGACGTTCAGGAGCTGTTCAACGTTTTCTTTCAGCAGTCCCTGAACTCTCCCTAATGTTTTCCTATGTGTCCATGTACACATCGTCGTTTACAATCGTTTACAGGCAGTTGAGGTTACAGTCGTTTTTTTGAACACACCAAACTTGCGTTCAGGAATAGATTTTACTGGCGTTTCAAACACCAAACGCTTGTAAACGTGTGTAAACGCTTGTAAATGCAGTTAACCAAATTTATAAGCGCTTGCGTTTAGAAGTGTTTTTTAACTGTTCCATGTCCAGATGCTGTCCAGAGCCTTTGTTCATCATCAGAAATGCATGCAAAGTGTTTTCCATGTATTCAAATGGACTCGGTACACCAGCGCAGCCAGTTGCAGGTTTTGCGTGAAGGAAACAATGGTAGAACGTGCCGCATTATGCTCATGATGGGATCCATAGTGAATACAACCAGAAAAGACAGGTCATCTCCACACATACTGCTCTCTGCTTCTGTTCTCTCTATTTCTTTCAAAATGTCTGAAATAGTTCATTTTTTTTACTGTTTTTCAGTGCATTCTGGGCATTTGGGAAGGTCTTCTGAGGTTATTTTTTAAAAACGCTTCTAAACGCAAACACACATAAATGTGCATAAATGCGGTATGCAAATGTGGCTAAACTGACAATTTTTAACCTACGTTTTCCAGCAGTCAGTTTCCATCATTCAGAAGAGTTTTCCAAACATCCCGTGTACATGAGCCCTAAATCAGATAGTTTACCATGCTGTCAGCTAGAAATCCCTCACATGTTTCAAACAGAAAAACATAACTAGTTATATATATTACAAATCAAGCATTTTATCTCCTGAGTGGCACAAGATGACAAAATTTTCTCATAGGGACCCACATAGTAACACAACCAAAGCCACTGACTCCTTCATGAGGGATAGGTAGTCCTTGGGTACAAAGTGTCCATTTGGAGTCACCTGGAGTCCAATAATATATAGTTTTATAAAACTGATCCATATTCTCCCCACCCAAAACATAGATTCTTTGGTTCCACTGCACGACTCCAGCAGATGCTATCTTCTCAGGAAGTGGTGGGACTTTGAGTTCCTGAGACACCCAACCCTGTTCATCTAAGCACAAACATCTAGAAGTGGCTTCCGCCTGCCCTGTAGATTGACAATAATTATTATAGCCACCAATCACAATCACTTTGTTATCTAATGTCACTGCTCCTCCAAATGCCACCACAATTTTATTTGGAATGTGACTCCATAAATCTGAATTTGGATTATAAATCAGTAGTCCCTTCTCACTGAATGAACGGTTCCTCCCAGTTTCTCCTCCTATGAAGTACAATTTACCTTTTAACTTTGTGGATGCAAAAGCACACAATGGAAATGGTAATTTAGATAACTCAGACCAACAATTTTTGGAGAGGTCAAAACATTCCATTGAGTCCATAACGTCATCTCTATTCCATCCTCCCACTGCGAACAGTTTCTTCTTACAAGATAAGAACCCATGTAGAGCCCTTGGGTTCTTCATACGTGGAAATTCTGTCCAGCTGTTTGTTAACGAATCATAAACATGAAAAGTCTGGGAAACAGAATCATCCTGGTTCATCCCCCCAGTCACATACAAATAGTTCTCTATAGCAAGGCATCCAGGATACATCAAAGATTTTAAGGGAGTAATCTTATCCCAATCATTGGCAACAGGGTCATAGCAGTCCAGAAAGAAATCATTATCATCAAGAGTGTGGTCTTCTCTGGCCTGAAGGTCCATGCAAACAATCTGGTTTTCAAACATACCTTGGCGTAGTTTAAAAGGTACTGATTTCTGAAGACCAGATAGTTCCAGAATTACATCTCTTTTGACTTCTTCTAGCTCATGGGGTGACAATAATGGAAATCGGATGACTCTACATAGCTCTTCAGGAAATGGACTACCTGCAGCCCTGTTGGCTTTCCACCAGTGAAGGGCCATGCGATAGATGCAAAGCTCTGAAGATACCATCAACTGATCCGAGGAAAGAATGCTTATTAATTCATCCTGCTCCAAATGGAGAAAATCTTCTTTTTCACAAAGACTGGTTATGTTCCAGCTGATGTATTGAATAGCTACCCCTTGAAGTCTGATGTGATTATGGCTCTGAGCCAGTCTGTAAATCCAGAAGCAGTTATCATTGGTTAGCTTGTTGATGAGAAACCTAAAGTAAGCAAAATAAAAACGCCTCATAAGTCTTATTAGAAGGTGTTGAAAAAAAGATTTTCTACATTGTTATTTATGGCACGCATCTTCATCATAATTCCAATGAATGACAATGGTAAAATGGTAGCAATTGATTCAGTAAATCAACCACTATGCCTTTTTCTTTGTACACACATAAAGAGAGAGAATGGGAGAGAGAGGCAGAGTAAAAGCTGCAACCAGCAGATGTTTGTTTGAGAGGAAAACTGTAATCACAATTGGCTGTCATATCAATCATGCTGTTTGTATCCCAGTTGTTATTGTAGGACCTGTGGCTATCAGTGACATCATGGTCCCTGGACTAGCAGTGCAAGCCCTTAGTTCTCAGAGAAACATTAATTAAAGTATTACTAAACCCAGGACCGTGCATTCACTCTATCTGGTCTCCCACAGTACACAAAACATGGAAGAAGTGCACTTATTTTAGTAAATATAAACTGCTAAATACCTTTGCTCATCAGTAGTATATAGCAGTCTTGTGACTTCTATCAGTGTCCAACAGAGCACTGGTTAAAGCTTGTAGGAGGAGCTTTCTTTCTGCTCTAGGAGGAAAACCCCTGACCTCTGTCTGGACAGTGCTGATTGGCCCTGTGCTGATCACATGCACTCTCCCAAGAAAAATAAAAAAAACCTCTCAAGCAATACACACCAAACTAAGCATGTGCAGAATGGCTATGGTTTAGTCTGTCTTATCAGGAAATAAGACGTGGACATTTGAACAAGAGGAGAAGCAGAGAAGTCAGGATCAAACAGCCTTTTTACACAATGCAGAGGATTAGCCCCTTAAGCTCCACAGTGAGTATAACAAGCATGCTTTACTGCATATACAGACTGATTGTACTGTTGTGGGTTTAGTAATACTTTAACTTTCTCACAACATGGGAAACTGTACCTGAAAATAGTAATATAAAAAATGCAAGCATCAAAGTGGTAATTTTAAGTTAAGTGTATAAAAATACTTATATATACTAATAAATACTATAATGTCAAATTCTGAGCTCTTCTGTGTCTTGTACAGAATTCCTGTGTTATCTCAAGGAGTCTAATTAGCCCTCCCAGATATCATCTTGGGACTACAGAATGATTAGTCACTATGTTGTAGAGATGAGGAGAGTGGGAGGACTTGAGTAGTTTATCAAATGAAAGATAGGCAGGAGCATTTGGCCAGTGTTGACCTCCTTTTGCCCTGCATTTGACTTGCTTCAAGCAGGTTTTGCATTCTTATATATAGCACTACCCCCTTAGGAGTCTCTAGAGATTTGGGTCCCCTTATAGTCCTGCACAGCCAGGAAATATGCATTCCCTTCCAGCCTTGCACTCCAGAGACAGTAAACAGTCCTTGAACTTGTTTTTTTGTGATTTTATTAAGGGGTTGATAACTTGGATGGGGATGAGTGATACATGGGATGCCCAAGGAACTGTTGAACTGAGGACAACTTCCTGGGACTATGAACAAGTGCTCTTAAAAGCTTTCTTGGAGAGCTTTCCAGCTTCTCCTGGTGTACCATCTCAGACCCCAGATAAAATCTCCTCTAAACCCAACTGCCTAAGGGAGTCCCTGGGTAGGAGGACCCAGAATCTGCCTCCTTAAGATCAGCAGTCCAAGATGGGGGCTAGTCAGGTTTCCCACCCGAATGCCCTTTCCTCTTGTCTGGCCCAGGGGATGTGCGATTACTCACTTAGTCTCTCCTGTAAGCTTGTGGGTTGGTGGCTGCCTTCTGGCCTTATGCTGGGCTGGCTCCTTCTCTGCTTCCCAGGATTTCCTCTCTCAGGGGATGATTGAGGCTGAGAGATCCTCCCTTCCAGCTCCTCCATCTGTAGGTAAGCCCTTCTTTTGGACCCTCTCTCAGGCTCCACACTCCATCATACTCACTCCATCTTCCACCCAAACTCTCCTGCTACTGAGCAGGCTCGGTCACTCTTAAGGGCTGTCCTGACCCCATGCCAAGCCTCCTGCTTGGGGATTGACCAATATCCCTTGAGAGTGCAGACCAGCTCCTCCTCACCCCCGCCCACTGAATTATAGAGACTTTTCCAAGTCTCTAGATCAGAGGGAGGTTTCAGGGAACTGACCCAAATTTGACCCCTCTGGCTATTATACAAGGCTGCTATTCAGCCTCTAACTACAAAAATAACTAGCTTTCCTAGGAGGGTGCTACACATAGACGTGTATGGGGATGCAAATCCTGTTTGAAGCAGTAAAAGCTCATGAATACAGGTCCTACAGATGTCTTTTGGGCAAGATGCAAGCAGAACCATAAATGCCTGGGTTGTGCATGCAGACACCTCCAGGGTGTATCAGGATACAAGTAATCCAAGCTGCATAAGAGCCTGTGTTGACAGGTTTTGTTCTTTTCAAGCCGGTTTTTCATTCCCATCCAAGCCTATGGGAATGCAAAACCTGCTTAAAGCAGGTCAGAAGGAAGTCAACATCAGGTCAAATCCACCCATTAATGAATTCTGAATTATTTATTTATTACAGGCACTTATATAGCACCATCAATGTATGCAGCACTTTACATATATTATTATACATTCACATCAGTCAGTCCCTAACCCCCAAGGGGTGTACAATCTAAGGTCCCTAACTTACATATACTAGGGCCAATTTAGACAGGATTCAATTAACATGTCTTTGGAGTGTGGGAGGAAACAGGAGTACCCAGAGGAAACCAAGGCACAGGGAGAACATACAAACTCCAGGCAGGTGGTGCCCATGGTTGGAATTTGGACCAACAGAAAGAAGTGCTAACCATTTAGCCACTGTGCTGCCCACTGTTCAATCTCCAAAGCATCTGAAATCGATGTCAAACTGATGCTGTCAACAGAAGCCCTAACAGCTATTTTTCATGAGATCGCATGGTCAGTAGTGTCCAGGGGCGGACTGACCATTTGGAAACTCGGGCACTGCCCGAGGGCCCGGGGTCAGTAGGGGGCCCCATGAGATGCCCCTGGGACCTTTTTTATAGGCTTTTTTGAGTTTGGGCAAAGACACAGGGGCCCCATGATCCCCTATTGCCCGGGGGCCCCATGAGTTGTCAGTCCGCTCCTGGTAGTGTCTGCAGCTGCTCACAGACTTAATATCATCACATATATCTATTATACATTGGTCAAGCACCTGCTGCACAGATCCTGCATAGCTGTAATCTGTAGGCGGCTGGACACAGTAAACAGCTCCTCAATAGAGTCCAAGTTGAGAGTAGCTTCACCACTGTATATGAAGTGAACGATGCTCTCTATGACAGAAGAAGGGACATCCAGAAGGCAAACCTCTCCATGTTCAGATTCTAGCATAGAGCTAGTGAACATTGCTCGGAAATAGGGGCTGACCGAAGCAAGTACCACCCTACAAAAAAAAAAGATAGAATAAATTAAAATAATTGAACTCACTTTTTGCAAATGCAATACCATGGCTTCTGGAAGCATGACAAACAAATAGTAGTCACCTAATATCTATTACTCTCCTAGATTGTAAGCTCGAAAGAGCAGGGTCCTCAATCCCCTCATGTTTTGCACTGTATTGGTATTGTTCTGTCACATGTTCTGTCCCCCTTTGTAATGTAAAGCGCTGAGCGAACTATTGGAGCTTTATAAATACTATATAATAATAATATTACAGACAGTTATGTTTAACTATAATATATGATCAAAAGTGAGTACCACCTGACCATGACAACTATATGAGTTGTTGAACATCATGTTCACAGTGGCTAAATGGTTAGCACTTCTGCCTGGCAGTGCTAAAGTTGTCGATTTGAATCCCAACCACGGCACCACCTGCCTGGAGTTTGCATGTTCTCCCCGTGCCTGCGTGGGTTTCCTCCGGGTACTCCGGGTGTGTATGAATGTAAGTTAGGAACCTTAGATTGTACATCCCTTGAGGGTTAGGGACTGATGTGAATGTACAATATATATATGTAAAGTGCTGCGTAAATTGACGGCGCTATATAAGTACCTGAAATAAATAATATTCCCAAACCAAACACATTAAGGCCTCTTGCACATGGTACTGATGTTTGAGCATCTACGTGTTTTGAACAAAATTTCAGACGTTTGTTTTGCATGTATTTGTACGTATTGATGTGCAAATTTGCACACACATGCGTGTATTTGCACGAATATGTGTGTTTGCGTATTTGCACGCACAATATATTCTTAGGAAAAATAGATTAATATTTACGCTCATATGTGGGTATTTGTGCCCAGGCAGCATAAATTACTGACCAAAAATGCAAATTTTCCTATTTTGTTTTTGTACTGATGAATACACAGCACTTATTTACACGTCTGTGTACAAAGGCACATTCTAAATAATGGGCTACATTTTACCTCTGTACTGAGCTTTTTCAGGCTGCAGTGTGCAAGAGGCCTAAAAGGGAGTTGGCCCCCATTTGCTTTAAAAACAGCCTCCACTCTTCTGAAAAGGCCTTCCACGGGATTTTGGTGTGTGTCTGTGGGAATTTGTGCCCGTTCAGTCAAAACAGTGTTTATGAGGCTAACTAATAACGTTGAATAGGAAAACTTGGCTCACAACTGGAGTTCCAATTCATCCCAAAGATGTCCACTAGGGTTGAAGTTTAGGACTCTCAAGGCAATTCTTGTTCCTCCACACTAAATTCATCAAACCATGTCTTTATGGAGCTGGCTTTGTGCACAGGGGTAGAGTCATGCTAGAACTGAAAAGATCCTTCCCCAAACTGTTACCACAAGGTTGGAAGTGTACAATTGTCTGAAACAGAGTTCACCAAACTGCAGCCCATGGGTTGGATATGGCCTTTTGCTTGCCTTTATCTAGCCCTTGGGGCACTAATCTGTCCACTGGCATCAATGATGGGACACTATCCCTTCCACTGTCCCCAAAGACGGGGTACTATTTCTTCTACTGACACCAAAGATGGGGCACTATTCCTCCCATTGATGCCAATGACGAGGCACTATTCTTCTCACTGATGCCAATGATGTAATTTTTTTATTCCCACTGACCACTAAGCCTATGGCATTATTTTACTCTTACCAATGCCAGAGCATTTTCTACTCTCACTGGCCACTGTTTGGCCCCCCTAAAGTCTGAAGAGCAGTAAACTGGCCCTTTGTTTCAAAAGTTAGTAATATCTTTATCTGTAGCACAAAAGGTGGCCACACACTCTTTAATTTTATTATTTGATCGATGTGTGATTCAATCAAATCAATAAAACCTTCAAACAATCTAATAGCCATAACTTCCTTTCTGATTTTTGCTAGATTTAGATTGGATTTGACCAAACTGTTCACATTGACCAGCAACACTGAGAAACTTTGTTCATGAATACGAATATCATAACTATCAATTGAATTCCACTTCCCAGTATGTGGAATATCAAATGGGTTGTCAACTACAGATTGATTCTAAATTTTGGAAGAAATGAATTGGAAAATAAATTGATCATTTATTGTATATGACCACCAAAAACATTTACTGGAAACACAGTCATTGTCCACAAACTTTTGGGCCTATAGGTAGGTGTAGTGATGAGGTGTACACAAACATTAGGCCATATAGTGCATGCTAGAGTAACACTTTATGCAAGTCATTTTTGCCAGTCGAAACCTGACCAGCCGTACATGCAGGATCACTATATAAGAAATTAATCCAGAGGCGTAACTAGAACCTTTGGGGCCCCAATGCAAGAAACCATGAACGCCTACCCCTGGCCTGGCCTCTGAGCCCAGAGCCCTTCCCACTGATCCTTTACTCCTGTTGCAGGACCCTTTATTATGGTCCTTCAGGAGATCCCTTTCACATGTTCTGCAGCGGACCGGACCCTTTCCTGTGGTCTTGGGGCCCCCCACGATGGCTGAATGCCATGGCCCAGTCACAAGTGCAACCTTTGCAACCCTGGTAGCTTCACCAGTGTGTCAGTAGAACTGTGAAGTGTCAGTCAGTAGAGCAGTGGATAGTGTCGGTATGGCAGTGGATGTGGTTAGTAGGGCAATGGATGTGGTCGGTAGGGCAGTAGACGTGGTCAGTAGGGCAGTGGACATGGTCAGTAGGGGGAAGTGGGACAGTAGATTTTAATTTTTGTTCATTGATTTATTTATTTTTTTTTTAATTTTACAATTTTATTCTTTATTATTTTTTACATTTTTTTCAGGAGCCCCGTTGGGGAGCTTTGGTGAAATATCAGGTGTCTAAACAGACCTCTAATATATCACCTTTGAGCCACAGCCCTCAATCTCTATCTCTGCATCCTCAGCTGCACAGAATGAATAGACCGGAATAGCTCTGTACAGAGCTGCCCATTCATTCATGGTACCGATCACTCACTGTGTGCTTCCTTCAAAAGCAGTAGTGCTTTGTTTGGGGGGGGGGGGGGGGGGGGGGACCAGGGAACACGCAGGGGCAGCAGGAAACAAAGAACCTGGATAAAGGGCCAGTGAAAGGATTTTTGTCTACAGAGGCAAAGGTGCATTTTCACACCCCCCGCCCCAATACCCCCATCCTCCCGCCAAACACAGTAACCCACCTCTGGATGAAGGAGCACCTTCAGTCTAGGGGGAGGGGAGTGTTAAATATAGTAGTAGATTTAAATACACTAACAAACTGAAGCCAAATTCCAGCTAACACTTTATACTCAGTTACAGCAAACAGTTATTTTTTTTTTTTTCCTTTTGGGATAAAGGTTTTATATAAATTATTAAAAGATGACCTTGTAAGCACCCCTGTAATTGGGAGATAGTTTGTCGTATCCCTCTAACTGCTACACCTGCAGGAGAGCTTGCTCTGTTGAAAAATAACAGACTTACTGGCCAGATCATCAGATGAAAATAAGAAAGTCTAAAAAAAGAAAACTAATGCAGCCAGTACATTTAAGAAGGGCACCTGGGCAATGTGACAGGAGGTGGCAGTGTGACAGAAGAAGGGGGTATTGTGACAGAAGGGAGACAATTTGACAGGAGGGTTGCAGTGTGACAGGAGGGGGAGTAGTGTGGCAGGAGGGAGGCACTGTGAAGGAGGGACAGTGTGACAGGAGGGGGGCAGTATGGCAGGAGGATGGCACTGTGATGAAAGGGCAGTATGACAGGAGGGGGGGTGGAGCTGGTGGTCCTTGCTACCGATGACTGCTTATCTCTTGTCAACATGCTGGATACACCTAGCACCAGGCTGGATAGGAGGGGCGGCAGGGCAATATATAGAAGAACCAAACTCCTTCCATTTCCCTCCTGGCTACTGCAGAGCTTTCAGTGGCTGCAGAAACCAGGAGGAAAATGGAGAGGATCGGTTGTTTTATATGCCGCCTCTCCTATCCAAGTGTAGACAAATGTGACAGGGAAGCTGCAGGGGTCCCCTGCAGCAAGGGACAGAGTCGCAGTTACAACCCCTGCGACTCCTATAGTTATGCCTGTGAATGAATCCACAGTTGAAAGGCTGCGATGGGCAGCAAAGACATGTTTTTCTTCTTTCCACTATACTTTGTAAATGTAATACACTTACCTGTGGCAGGGGAACCTTCTGCTTTCAGTTATTATGGCTGCATCACATAGTGTTTCTGTCAGGTAGAGCTCACGTAGACCTATCCACAACATAAAACACAATACATTTTCTTAGGAATCATTCTGATGAAGTACAATTCATGACCAAGTTTATCCCGACCCCTATTTGATCACATCTCATGTTACCATCATGGAAAGAGATGTATTGCAGCTTATCGGTTCTTAGATATGTCGACTGCATTCATTTTCAATTTTCAGACCAAGAACATTTTCAGCAAGTACAGAAATATCTATTGATCTTGCCAGAAATGCCATGTCCTCAGCTTTTTCTGTGAATTGAATTGAACTAAAAGAAAAAACAACTTAATTTTCCTTTCAAGCTATCTTCTGTCATTGACATACTACACTATATTGGTTCCTTGGGCGCCCCTCTCCCCTTTCCCATTTGTTCATTCTATTCAGCAATAAATTTGTTAGTGAGGGTGGACACTGATGCTGGGCAAGGTCCATTTCGTACACTTGTTAGAGGTTCCTTACTGAGGGTAACATTGAAAAAATCAAGTTTGGCATATGCAGGGCCGCCATCAAGGGGAGACAGCCCATACATACGTGCAGGGGTTTTGGGCATCCTGAGGGGCCCGGGCCCCAACCAAGGCTGTCTTCAATGCAGGGCAAAAGGGGTAGCTGCCTCAGTTCCAGTCATTGTTATAGGGCCGAAAGCAGCTGCCCCTTGTAATGGAGAGTCCCAGTCCAGTGGCGGAGGGAGTGGGGCAGCAAGCCGTGGCATCTTCAGGGTGTGGGCAGGATGAAAGCATCTTGCTTATCTCCACATGGCGAGTGGGGAAGTAGAGCAACGAGGGCAGCAAGGACCAGGAGCCCAAGAGGGTGAAGACCTGCACCAACTCCCTGAGCCCTGAAGAGGTGAGCAGCAGCAGGTACAGGATCCCCAATGCCTCTCAGAGCCTGGACTCCCTCTCCAACCTCCTGTCTGTATCCAGCTCCAACATCAACAGTGACAGCACATGGCAACATCAACAGGACGAGGACTGGCGAGAGGCACAGGCGGCCAGGGATCCACTGGAAGGAGCAGAGCACTCCCCATCATCACACAGAAGGAGAATAGACCCTGCCTGCTGCTTGATGTCATGAACATCATACTCCTGGCATTGAAGGTACCGGGCATCACACACACCTACCCACAGCCAGGGACTGGGACAGGGGGACACAGGAGGGACTGCAGACAGGGACAGGGCTAGGGGTCTCTCTCTCATCCTCCCCCACCCCCTCACCCCTCTCTCTCACCCCCCTTCTCTCTCACCCCCCTCTTTTCTCTCTTACCCCCATCTCTCTCTCACACCCCTCTCTTTCTTTGTCTTTCACCACTCCCCATTGAGAATATTGAATGGGGAGTGTGGGACTGGAGAAGAAGGAGGACATGGGATGGAGGACATGGGACTGGAGCTGGAGGAGGAAATGGGATGGAAGAGGAGGAGGACATGCTCTAGAAGAGATAGAACTGCAGGAGGAGGAGGACATGGGATGAAGGAGATGGGACTGGAAGAGAAAGATGACATGGGATCAAGGAGGACACGGGATGAAAAAGATTAAACTGGAAGGAGGATGACATGGGATGGGGGAGATTGGACTGAAGGAGGACATGGGATAGAGGAGGAGGAGGACATGGGATGGAAGAGGAGGAGATGGAAATAGAGAAGAAAGAGATGGGACTAGAGGAGGAGGACATGGCGTGCCAGATATATTCAGTTGTACGAGTGTTAAAATAAAAGTGGGTGCACTGAAGGACTTGGTTGGATGGCCAGTGGGCGAATTTGGTGGGACCACCAATGGGCTGGAATGTTGCCGGTCAGGTCCGGGGGACTCAAGCCAAAAGCTGTGTAAGAGGCCCCAACATTTCTTATGGCTGCCCTTGGCGTCCGTTGAAGAGTTTCTTAGGTGGATTATGACTACACATGTCTATTTCAGCAAGTAAGCTCATTATGGGCTTTGCTTTGCACAGCTGGGTGTTTTTGTGGGAAAAAAGGAAAGGGCCTTATCCAAACTACTGTCACAAAGCAGCAACAATGCTTAAAGCTGAAGTTCAGTTATGGCAATTTTTGCATAGTTACAGTGGTCTAACTTGGATGCAAACAATAAAGATCTCAAAGAGATTCTCAAAGAAAAAAAAGAATAACATTCAAAATAATGGGCAGAGGGGCTTTGACACGGCTGTCAGGTTGGCTGTATTGGGTCCCGTGGTTTCTAACAGCAGCCCTGCATATATTATACCTGTGGGATCCCTCTACAAGCTGGAAATCACTGTAGAAGGCACTGCTACTCCTGTGATCTCCACTAGCTTCCAGATCCTGTGCTAAGGGGTTACCCTGTTGCATTCTGAACACAGGAGGAGCACACTCTGCATGAACGCCATTCAGGGATCGCTTTGCATTTTTTAAATGAATCATTCTTTGACTGGACAAGGTGAAGAGGCGGGGTGATGACGTCATGTTGTCCACCTCATCTAATCAGAGAATGCTTTGCATTCACTGAGAAAATATAAAGCATTGTCTGAACTGTGCCCCTGTGGAGTGAGCGATCTCCTGTGTTCACAATGCTGCAGGGCAGCCATTCCGAAGTTACCTGGAAGCTATTGGAGATCACAGGAGTAACACCATCTACTACAGTGATATCCAGCTTCTCAAAGGACCCCACAGGTATGGTATATGCATAGCTACACTGGTCCAAGCTGGAAAAATGTAACTATGTAAAAATATCCATACCTGGAATTCTTCTTTAACTGCCTCCCTACTGCCCTATAGCAGAACTACTGCGCAAAATCACATCTATATACATGATTTTGCATTTCTGGGTAGGGGGTGCGGCGCCATTGGTGGCTACAACTGTCAATCACCGGAGATTCCCCGCCGGCACCTGGCGATCGTGGATGAACACTGACAGGGGAGAGGTCTGTATGTAAACGATACAGATCTCTCCCCTGTCAGCACCAGCATGTTGCTTTGTATTGCTCTGTATAGCAGTGTGCTTACGCAGTAAAACACAAACAGCACAGTTAGTAAAACAGAACACAGCACAGAGTTAACCCTTTGATCGCCCCCAGGGGCGGACTGACCATTTGGAAACTCGGGCACTGCCCGAGGGCCCGGGGTCAGTAGGGGGCCCCATGAGATGACCCTAGTACCTTTTTCATAGGCTTTTTTGAGTTTGGCCAAAGACACAGGGGCTCCATGATCCTCTATTGCCCAGGGGCCCCATGAGTTGTAAGTCCGCCCCAGATGTTAACCCCTTCCTGCCCAGTGTCATTAATGTACAGCGCTGAGCAAACCTCTTGGCGCTATATAAATACTGTATAATAATAATAATTAGCAAAGTGTCAGTGCTTTTTATTGGCACTGATCACTGTATTAGTGTCACTGGGGATGCCAGTGGCAGTTAGTTCCCCCCCTGTGTCAGAATGTCCACCGCAGTCCCACTATAAGTCGCTGATCGCCATCATTGCTAGTATAAAAAAAAAATTCCAGTATACATACTGCCATTGGTAGACTATATAACTTTCACATAATCCAATTAATTTACATGTATTGAGATTTCTTCTAGCAAAGACATGTAGCAGAATACATTTTGGCCTAAATTTATGACAAAATTAGATTTTTTTTAATTTTTTTACTGGATATGTTATATAGAAAAAAGTCAAAAATATTGGGGTTTTTTTTTTCGAAATTGTCGGTCTTTTTTTGTTTATAGCGCCAAAAATAAAAAATGCAAAGGCGATCAAACACCACCAAAAGAAAGCTCCATTTGTGGGAAAAAAGGACATAAATTTCAATTGGGTGCAGCGTTGCATGACCGCGCATTGTCAGTTAAAGTAACGCAGCGCCGTATCGCAAAAAATGGCCTGGTCAGGAAGGGGGGGGAAATCCTCTGAAGGGCAAGTGGTTAAAGATAGGACTATGCAGTGTCTGTTATGTGAGCAAACCAGCAATGCGTTTCATCAGAGTAATTCAATGAATTCTTCAGGGTAGACCCTAAAAAGTCTTACCCTGGAATTTAATAAAGCAAAGGACACCTGCTGTCATATACTGCAATATATGAACCCTTTCTAGAGTCTTCCAATACCAAGGAGAAAAAGCAATCACTTGTATCAACTGATTTACATGTCCTGTATTTGTTGGAATCTTGCTGGAATTCAACATGGTGTAAGATGGAAATTCTTTATCAATGAGAAAATAAATTCAATGTTATAAAAAAGAAGGGAATTAAAAGATTTATATTACTTAAGAATGATCACTTTATACTGTAAGTATTCTGCATTTACCACAATACCTTTTATTATATTACATTCCAAAGTATTCTGATCTTCAAGAAAGGCTTCTGTGTCTTCATCCATATACCATGGGGGATGCTTGGATGACTCTTCCATGGTGTGTCTGTGCATAATGTAGAGAAAAGTGACAAAGTATTACAATTTGGCACCATTTTAGCACAAAACAATGGATATAGTACTTCTCGAATGGCCCACCCCCCCCCAAACCTGTGTCAGTGGGATCAGCGTGTGCATAGACTGGTGCAAGACAGACAGGTTCGGCTTGTCACACTCTAGTAGACTGCAACAAAGATGGTGGCTGTCTGTACACAGACATAGACTCCCTGTTACATAAATGTGAATGACAGGGGAAGGGGCGGACTGACAACTCATGGGGCCCCCGGGCAATAGGGGATCATGGGGCCCCTATGTCCTTGCCCAAACTCAAAAAAGCCTATGAAAAGGGTACCAGGGGCATCTCATGGGGCCCCCTACTGACCCCGGGCCCTTGGGCAGTGCCCGAGTTTCCAAATGATCAGTCAGCCCCTGGACAGGGGTAAAAGATGGCTTCAGCTCCTGTTCTCCACCTGTAGAGAACTACTCAAGACACCTACGAAAAAGGCAAAATGTGTCCGAGGAGACAAGCCGGCCAAGAGACTGTCACTACACACACACTGCGGCCGAGTCATTCCCCGCCCTGCATGTATACATGACCCTTGTATGGAATGCTCAGACGCGTACAAATGGTGGCACTCACTGACAGCTTCCTGCCGGATAACTCAGGTGGGTTCGGATGAGGATCAGAACACATCTGAGCTCACCCGTTAAGACTGGCCATACATTATACAATTTTCTTTAGAACATTGCTTTAGATTTACCAAAATCCATATAATAACAGGTCAAACCTAAACAACACTTTCAGTTGTATCCAATTAGGCAGGCCCTTGCACTACATAGTTGAAGATAAATCTAAAGGAAATTGGGCAGAAAATTGTTTAGTGTATGGCCAGTCTAAAGAGCAACCTCACCCCCCCCACTCCTCCTGTTTTAATTTTTTTTCTCAATCCCCTCTAAGGCTGGCCATTCACTATACAATTTTCTGCCCAATTTCCTTTAGATTTACCTTTCACTATGTAGTGCAAGAGCCTGCTTAATTGGATACAACTGAAAGTGTTGTTTAGGTTTGACTTTCGTATTATATGTTTTTTTTGGTAAATCTAAAACAAAATTCTCAAGAAAATTGTATAGTGTATGGCCAGCCTTAGGCTGACCATACATTATACAAATTTCTTTAGAAAATTGCTTTAGATTTACCAAAAACCATATAATACGAAAGTCAAACCTAAGAACACTTTCAATTGTATCCAATTAGACAGGTCCTTGCACTACATAGTGAAAGGTAAATCTAAAGGAAATTGGGCAGATTTTTTGACAGCAAATTGTATAGTGAATGGCCAGCCTATGTCTGGCCATACACTATACAATTTTCTGTCCAATTTCCTTTAGATTTACCTTCAACTATGTAGTGCAAGAGCCTGCCTTATTGGATACAATTGAAAGTGTTGTTAGGTTTGACTTTATATTATATGGCTTTTGGTAAATCTAAACCAAAAATCTCAAGAAAATTGTATAATGTACACTATACACTTTTCTTACAATTTTCTGTCCAATTTCTGCCCAATTTCCTTTAAATTTACCTTCACCTATGTAGTGCAAGGGCCTGTCTAGTTGGATACAACTGAAAGTGTTGTTTAGGTTTGACCTCATATTATATGGTTTTGGTAAATCTAAATTAAAATTCTCACACAAATTGTATAATGTATGGCCAGCCTATGTTTTTTTTACCAAAAACCATATAATATGAGGTCAAACCTAAACACTTCCAATTGTATCCAATCAGGCAGGCCCTTGCACTACATAGTTGAAGATAAATCTAAAGGAAATTGGGCAGAAATTGAACAGAAAATTATATAATGTATGGCCAGCCTAACCCTTTCCACTGGGGTTATCCTTAATGCTGGCCATACATTATACAATTTGTTTGAGAATTTTACTTTATATCTATCAAAAACCATATAATATGAGGTCAAACCCAAACAACACTTTCAGTTCTATCCAATTAGGCAGGCCCTTGCACTACATAGCTGAAGGTAAATCTAAAGGAAATTGGGCAGAAATTGGACAGAAAATTGTATAATGTATGGCCAGCCTAACCTTTTTCACTGGGGTTATCCTTAAGGCTGGCCATACATTAAACAATTTTCTTTAGAAAATTGCTTTAGATTTACCAAAAACCATATAATATGAGGTCAAGCCTAAACAACACTTTCAACTGTATCCAATTAGGCAGGCACTTGCACTACACAGTGAAAGGTAAATCTAAGGGAAATTGGGCAGAAAATTGTATAGTGTATGGCCAGCTTTAAAGCAGTATTAACCCCAAAACCAGAAATGTAATCTATGGCAGTTTACCAATCAGTAGATTTTTTTTTTTTCCCTCTGTAGCCGTCACATCTAGGAATTGGTAAGCTGCGATGTATAAAATGTTTGCTTTTGTGTTTGATACCACTCTAACTGCTTCCCTTGTCTCTGCACAGAATCCATCACGGTTAACCCCTTCTGTCTGCAGACAATCCGCTGTAGTTAACTCTTTGTGCACGCCTTCTCTTATACACCACTGTGACCTTCATGTATACAGCTGGGTGTCAGTGGACTGTGACCGTCACGCCTACAGCTGGGTGTCAGTGGACCGTGACCTTCATGTATACAGCTGGGTGTCAGTGGACTGTGACCTTCATGTATACAGCTGGGTGTCAGTGGACCGTGACCTTCATGTATACAGCTGGGTGTCAGTGGACCGTGACCTTCATGTATACAGCTGGGTGTCAGTGGACTGTGACCTTCATGTATACAGCTGGGTGTCAGTGGACTGTGACCTTCATGTATACAGCTGGGTGTCAGTGGACCGTGACCTTCATGTATACAGCTGGGTGTCAGTGGACCGTGACCTTCATGTATACAGCTGGGTGTCAGTGGACTGTGACCTTCATGTATACAGCTGGGTGTCAGTGGACTGTGACCTTCATGTATACAGCTGGGTGTCAGTGGACTGTGACCTTCATGTATACAGCTGGGTGTCAGTGGACCGTGACCTTCATGTATACAGCTGGGTGTCAGTGGACCGTGACCTTCATGTATACAGCTGGGTGTCAGTGGACCGTGACCTTCACGCCTACAGCTGGGTGTCAGTGGACTGTGACCTTCACGCATGCAGCTGGGTGTCAGTGGACTGTGACCTTCACGTATGCAGCTTGGTGTCAGTGGACTGTGACCTTCATGTTACGTATACAGCTTGGTGTCAGTGGACTGTGACCTTCATGCATACAGCTGGGTGTCAGTGGACTGTGACCTTTACGTATACAGCTTGGTGTCAGTGGACTGTGACCTTCATGCATACAGCTGGGTGTCAGTGGACTGTGACCTTTACGTATACAGCTGGGTGTCAGTGGACTGTAACCTTCACGCATACAGCTGGGTGTCAGTGGACTGTGACCTTCATGTATACAGCTGGGTGTCAGTGGACTGTGACCTTCACGTATACAGCTGGGTGTCAGTGGACTGTGACCTTCACGCATGCAGCTGGGTGTCAGTGGACTGTGACCTTCACGTATGCAGCTGGGTGTCAGTGGACTGTGACCTTCACGCATACAGCTGGGTGTCAGTGGACTGTGACCTTCACGCATACAGCTGGGTGTCAGTGGACTGTGACCTTCACGCATACAGCTGGGTGTCAGTGGACTGTGACCTTCACGCATACAACTGGGTGTCAGTGGACTGTGACCTTCACGCATACAGCTGGGTGTCAGTGGACTGTGACCTTCACGTATACAGCTGGGTGTCAGTGGACTGTGACCTTCACGTATACAGCTGGGTGTCAGTGGACTGTGACCTTCACGCATGCAGCTGGGTGTCAGTGGACTGTGACCTTCACGCATGCAGCTGGGTGTCAGTGGACTGTGACCTTCACGCATACAGCTGGGTGTCAGTGGACTGTGACCTTCATGCATACAACTGGGTGTCAGTGGACTGTGACCTTCATGCATACAACTGGGTGTCAGTGGACTGTGACACCTTAGGTACACTTACCTATTGGCAATAGGTATAAAGGTAACACAATCTCATGGAAAGGCAAGAATTCTGCACAGCCAAACTACAGGCAGAGAAATCACCATTCACAGGAAGCAACAACTGTGTTCCAAGCCTCTTTCCCAAGCAGCTCACTGATTGGCTGATGATGGTATTTCACTGCCAGTTAGTGGACAAAGTCAGACACCCGACAGAACACCGTGTGCACGCCCCTTGATGGCCAGCCTTGCTCAGTAGTAGCCAACAGCTGTACGGCTGTAGCCATCGATAACAGCAGAGAGTTGAAGTCATACTTTTTATTGACTAAATCAACATTTTATGATGCTAGCTGTGAACATCTTAGGCGTCATTCTATGGCATTGCCAGATTGTAATGGCTCAATTTTTTTAACAGTTCTAAAGGCAGTAAAAGATCTTGTGGCAATATAAAAAACATGCTAAAGCAGTATAAATAGAGCAGTTTTCTACAAAAGACGAAATTCTGAGCACTGTCATAACTTCCCATATGGTCTAGCGGTTAGGATTCCTGGTTTTCACCCAGGCGGCCCGGGTTCGACTCCCGGTATGGGAATGTGATCTTTTTTAATTCTCCAAATTGTGTTTAACCACTTGAGACCCAGCATGTTTAACCTATATACCCCCCATTGAGTCCCACGGCTTTATTTTTCAGATTTTGGACATGTTTTTTGACAGATTTTTTTTGGACAGATTTTGGACATAGTTTTAGGGCTCATGTACACGGGGCATTTGGAAAAAACTCTTCTGAACAATGGAAACTGACTGCTGGAAAATGTAGGTTAAAAAACGTCAGTTTAGCCGCGTTTGCATACCGCGTTTATGCGCGTTTGTGTTTAGAAGCATTTTTAAAAGATAACCTCAGGAGACCTTCCCAAATGCCCAGAATGCACTGAAAAATAGTAAATAATTAACTATTTCAGACATTTTGAGAGGAATAGCGAGCAGAAGCAGAGAGAGCAGAAGCAGAGAGAGCAGTATGTGTTGAGATGACCTGTCTTTTCTGGTTGTATTCACTATGGATCCCATCATGAGCATAATGCGGCACGTTCTACCATTGTTTCCTTCACATGAAACCTGGAACTGACTGCGCTGGTGAAGGAGTCAGTGGCTTTGGTTGTGTTACTATGTGGGTCCCTATGAGAAAATTTTGTCATCTTGTGCCACTCAGGAGATAAAATGCTTGATTCGTAATATGTATAACTAGTTATGTTTTTCTGTTTGAAACATGTGAGGGATTTCTAGCTGACAGCATGGTAAACTATCTGATTTAGGGCTCATGTACACGGGATGTTTGGAAAACTCTTCTGAATGATGGAAACTGACTGCTGGAAAACGTAGGTTAAAAATCGTCAGTTTAGCCACATTTGCATACCGCATTTATGCACATTTATGTGTGTTTGCGTTTAGAAGCGTTTTTAAAAAATAACTTCAGAAGACCTTCCCAAATGCCCAGAATGCACTGAAAAACAGTAAAAAAATGAACTATTTCAGACATTTTGAAAGAAATAGAGAGAGCAGAAGCAGAGAGAGTAGTATGTGTTGAGATGAGCTGTCTTTTCTGGTTGTATTCACTATGGATCTCATCATGAGCATAATGCGGCACGTTCTACCATTTTTTTTCCTTCATGCGACACCTGGAACTGACTGCGCTGGTGTACCGGGTCCATTTCAATACATGGAAAACACTTTGCATGCATTTCTGATGATGAAAAAAGGCTCTGGACAGCAACTGGATACGGAACAGTTAAAAAACGCTTCTAAACGCAAACACTTAGAAACGCGGTTAACTGCGTTTACAAGCGTTTATACGCATTTACAAGCATTTGGCATTTGAAACGCCAGAATACTCTACTGCTGAATGCAAGTCTGGTGCGTTCAAAAAACGACTGTAAACGACTGTAAACGACGATGTGTACATGGACACATAGGGAAACATTAGGGAGAGTTCAGGGGCTGCTGAAAACAACGCTGAACAGTTCCTAAACGTGAGTTTATCAGCTGCAGTATACATGAACCCTTATTGCTGTTTTGGTTTGCAATTAATCCAATCTCCATGTTTTTGTGTACAGATAGTACTTTCATTTGATACCAAATTTTAAATGATATCATATATTTTGCACATAGTTTTATTTTCCTTTCAAAAGATGCAGAGGTGTGCTATGAACAAAAGGCTTAAAACTTCGATGAAACAGATGAACAGTAACAAGTAAATGCTCTGCTTTAAGCACCCAAAAATGAAGAAAATGTCTTATAAACCTGGAGCAATAACAAAAAACACAAAAGAAATTAAACCTACAAAAAACCCCCTGAAACAAAAGCCCATACAAAAAAAATTTGCTATGGTGACATGGATAGGACAGCAGTTACCACTGATTTAAAATCAACAAAATGATAAATTGAAAGACAAAAATAAATCCAATTGGATTTTTAAAAAGATTTTTAATATCATACCTACTTCTATAGTGATAAAACAACACAGGATATCTTCCCATATGGTCTAGCGGTTAGGATTCCTGGTTTTCACCCAGGCGGCCCGGGTTCGACTCCCGGTATGGGAATGTCTCTTTTGTAAATTCTCTTGTGTTGATTATCTACATGGATTTCATATACACTATATTGCCAAAAGTATTGGGACACCTGCCTTTACACGCACATGAACTTTAATGGCATCCCAGTCTTGGTCTGTAGGGTTCAACATGGAGTGGCCCCGCCCTTTGCAGCTATAACAGCTTCAACTCTTCTGGGAACGCCGTCCACAAGGTTTAGGAATGTGTCTATGGGAAGGTTTGACCATTCTTCCAGAAGCACATTTGTGAGGTCAGGCACTGATGTCGGACGAGAAGGTCTGGCTCACAGTCTCCACTCTAATTCTTCCTAAAGGTGTTCTATGGGGTTGAGGTCAGGACTCTGTGCAGGCCAGTCAAGTTCCTTCACCCCAAACTCGCTCCTCCATGTCTTTATGGACCTTGCTTTGTGCACTGGTGTGCAGTCATGTTGGAACAAAAAAGGGCCATCCCCAAAATGTTCCAACAAAGTTGGGAGCATGAAATTGTCCAAAATGTCTTGGTATGCTGATGTCTTAAGAGTTCCCTTCACTGGAACTAAGGGGCCAAGCACAACCCCTGAAAAACATCCCCACACCATAATCCCCCCTCCACCAAACTTTACACTTGGCATAATGCAGTCAGGCAAGTACCTTTCTCCTGGCAACCGCCAAACCCAGACACGTCCATCGGATTGCCAGACCGAGAAGCGTGATTGGTCACTCCAGAGAACACGTCTTCACTGCCAGTGGAGAGTCCAGTGGCGGCATGTTTTACACCACAGCATCCGATGCTTTGCATTGCACTTGGTGATGTAAGGCTTGGATGCAGCTGCTCGGCCATGGAAACCCATTCCATGAAGCTCTCTATGCACTGTTGTTGTGCTAATCTGAAGGCCACACGAAGTTTGGAGTTCTTTAGCTATTGACTCTGCAGACAGTTGGACACTTCTGCACACTGTGTGCTTCAGCATGCGCTGACCCCGCTCTGTCATTTTATGTGGCCTACCAGTTAGTGGCTGGGTTGCTGTTGTTCCCAGTTGCTTCCACTTTGTTATAATACCACTAACAGTTGACCGTGGAATATTTAGTAGCCAGGAAATGTCACGGATGGACTTATTGCACAGGTGGCAACCTATCACGGTACCACGCTTGGAGTCACTGAGCTCCTGAGAGCGACCCATTCTTTCACAAATGTTTGTAGAAGCAGTCTGCATGCCTAGGGGCTTGATTGTATACACATGTGGCCATGGAGGGGATTTCTAAACAGAGGGAAATAGGGGAACAGACTGTGGCCAGTAGGAGGAATAGTCAAATCTGCATAAGAATTTGCAAAATTGTGATCATGCAAGATTTGCCTTCATAATGGTGAACATTCCTGAATGAATTCACTGAGACCTGCAAAAAAACTGTCTAGACCAGCCTCAACCTTTAGCCCAGAGGAACCCCTAAAATAAATGCCAAGTCTCAGCGAACCCTTACTAAAACCAATTCATCATTGGTCAATGGCAAAAAAAAGGCCCTTACATTGGTGGTCAGTAGAAAGAATGCTCTCCTTATAGTAGTGGTCAATCAGCCACAGATCAGGGAACCCTTTGCAACCTCTGGAGGAACCCTGGCTGAGAATGGGTGGTCTAGACAGTCTGCCATATGGTCTAGCGGTTAGGATTCCTGGTTTTTCTCTCAAGGTTTAAAGTGTTACTAAACCTCAGATCCTGCATTCACTATATTTGGTCTCCCACAGTACATAGAACATGGAAGTGCAATTATTTTAGTAAATATAATCAGCTAAATACCTTTTCTCATCAGCAGTTAGAGCAGTCCTGTGACTTCTATCAGTGTCCAGCAAAGCACATGTTAAAGCTTGTAGGAAGCGTTTTCATTTTGCTCTAGGAGGATGCAGAACCCCTGACCTCTGTCAGGACAGTGCTGATTGGCCCTGTGCTGATCGCTTGCACTCTCCTAAAGAGAAAAAAAAAAACCTCTCTAGCAATACACACCACCAAACTGAGCATGTGCAGAGTGACTCCACATGATATGTCTTATCAGGAGATAAGAGGAGGACACTGGAAGAAGGGGAGGATCAGAGAAGACAGGATCAAACAGTCGTTTTACACAATGCAGAGGATTAACCCCTTAGGTTCCACAGTGAGTATAACAAGCATGCTTTACTGCATATACAGACTGATTTTACTGTTGGGGGCTAGTAACACTTTAACTCCCAGTAGGATAACATATTCTTTTAAAATGAATATTCATTCTTCTGCTATGAATGATTGTAAATCCAAATGATATATATCATAGATAATAGCTGATCATTGTATGTGTAATACTGCATTTTCTGTGTTTACAAAAGCAGCAAGTAGAGTCTTCGCTAAGTGACCAGTGCAGCGTGTGCATTAACCTGTCAGTGTCTGGAACTCTTGGCAGCAGTACTGGACCCTTACTGCACCATTCAGCTTTCCATCCTAATAGCTCATGTAACATTTCCCTCCCTCCTTCTCAGCCCTAGTTCACACTGAAGAGATTTTCAATACATACAAGAACTCCTGGAATTTCATGAAATGTTACATAACATGATGATCTATGGAGGGGGCTCACATGTAGTCTGAACACAGTTTGGTTTTAGAAAGGGTGCTATGTATGCTTGGACCCGTGCGGTGCGATTTAGAGCTTTACGGAGTTGAATGTAAACCTCATATGAAACATTTATCTGTTTAACCGCTAGCCTACAGGGCACTTATACCCCCTTCCTGCCCAGGCCAATTTCCAGCTTTCAGCGCTGTCACACTTTGAATGACAATTGCGCGGTCATGCAACACTGTACTCATATGAAATTTTTATACTTTTTTGTGACAGATAGAGCTTTCTTTTGGTGGTATTTAATCACCTCTGGGTTTTTTATTTTTTCTTAAACAAACCAAAAACCACTGAAATTTTAAAAAAAAAAAGTTTTTTCTTAGTTTTTGTTATAAAATTTTGTAAATAAGTGATTTTTCTCCTTCACTGATGTGCGCTAATGAGGCTGCAGTGATGGGCACTGATAGGCTGCACTGATGGACACTGATAGGTGGCACTGATGGGCACTGATGAGGAGGCACTGGTAGGTGGCACTGATGGGCATTGACAGGCATCACTGATGGGCACTGAAAGGCAGCACTGATACATGGCACTGATAGGCGGCACTGATAGGCGGCACTGACTGGCACTGATAGGCGGCACTGACTGGCACTGATAGGCGGCACTGACTGGCACTGATGCGCACTGATAGGCGGCACTGACAGGCACTGATAGGTGGCATTGATTGGCAGCACTAATAGGTGGATTGATTGGCATTGATAGGTGGCACTGATTGGCAGCACTGACAGGTGGCACTGACTGGCACTGATAGGTGGCATTGATGTGCACTGGTAGGCACTGATATGTGGTATTGATGTGACACTGATGGGCACTGGCATGAGGCACTGATGAGCACTGACACAAGGCACTGATGGACACTGACAGGTGGCACTGCTGGGGCTACACTGATCATCAGGGCACACTGATCATCAGTGCCCTGATGATCAGTGTTCATGTCCCCTCTGCGGAAAGCCGATTACCGGCTCTCCTCTCCTCTGTCAGCGTGACAGCTCGAGAGAAGAGAAATGCTGATAACCAGCATTTCCCTGTTTACATGTGATCAGCTGTGATTGGATACAGCTGATCACATGACCGAGCCGACATCTTCGACTCTTTCCATGATCGGTGATCCGCTGTGTCCGAGGGACACAGTGCACCGCCGATCGCTGCGCTCCCTCAGCCGTGCATGCGCGGTGAGAATGGGAGGACGTCATATGACATCCTCCCAGAACGAGAGAACCACCTTGCTTCCGTCATTGTACTATATGGCGGGTGGGAGGTGGTTAAATTAAAGGATAAGTTCACCTTAAAAAAATTATAATAATTGCACATCTTTTTGCAGGTAGAAAAAAAAATTGCATTTATGTATTTATTTTTATTGGGAGCCTGTAAGTCATTGCACCTGTGATCAGCAGATCAGAGATGAAAATAATTCCTTTTGATTGGACACACTGTAGGCTACATGTAAATCTGTATTTGTAGCCTGTGTAGAATCCCGGAGAAACATAAAACGGTTAAGTGGCGCCTGATTGCGACAGCTGAACAATGAATGGTACTGTCGTGATTGGACTGACGCGCTGGTGTGTGAAATCTTATTATCCTTGCTTCAGTTGCAGGATAAATCTTGGTAAAAGTTTTATTTCTGTTTTTATTCCCCTTTTTTGTTTTATAGTGAATAGCCAATTGTGTGACTTTTTGTATTTTCTGTAACTCTGTTTTCTTTGCACATATTTGATGCACTGCCCACTTTTGGGATATTAAATTATAAAATGAATAAGTGACTTCTGTGTACTAAGCTCGGGCTCATATCTCCGGAGAGATTGTTGTATTGTAGTGTCTATGTGCTCGATCTAATTTCATTGCCAATCTGTATGCAATTGCACTGTGTGTTGGCAGATTGCATGAAGATTGTAAAGTAGCAGATCTGCCAGACGGAGATCTGTGTGTGCATTGTGGCCCAGCAGACCAGTCTCCGAACAAACTTTTCATTGGTAGCAAGCTACCGTTTTTTATGTGTCTGGTGTGGGGGTGTGTGGACAGTGGAGGAGTGATTAATACTGGGGTTCTAGCTTGTAGGATAGCTGTAGGAATCCTAGAAGGGTGTGCCAATTGCTAGACTGCTCCCCAACCCTTAGTGTGCACCAGATTGTATATAAGATTCGTATCTGCCTGTGTGTGGTCAGCCAGCTGGATTGGAATGGAGTCTCCCTCTAGTGGTGGCCAGAGATAGTGTGGGCTGGGAAAGGGTATCACAGCCAGTCTTATCTACTTGAAGTCCCCCTCATTCCCTCTTTACCCCAAGTCACGCATGTGCACACCTTGGTTAGCTAGTCGCTGTGGGCGTGCATTTGATCCGTGACAGATTGGGAGGGTCTGCACTGCACATGTCATGATATTTTATAACACATAAAACATTATCAGTTTCAGAGTGTGTTGTAGTTTCCTCTTCTCTTTGGTGGTCATCCTATGCCCATACAGGCACTATTGAGGAATTGTACAGACTTCTATACAAGCCCGGCTAGCTCAGTCGGTAGAGCATGAGACTCTTAATCTCAGGGTCGTGGGTTCGAGCCCCACGTTGGGCGAGTGTTTTTAATAATCAGTTATTACTTTCCATTTGCATTACCATATCAGTTTAGTCACTTATAAACTGATAATGTATGTCAGCACAGCTGAGAATGTGACCCAAGTTCACATTATGCATTTGATATTTCAATGGTTAAAAGTAGAAAACTCACTGCTTATGTTTTAGGACTCCTTTACACAACAATGCACATAAAGCACACAGAAAATGCTTGCATATAGCCATGCAGGTTTTAACACATTGTGCTGCATTCTACTGTGTATTGAAGAGTGTTTTTAAATGCAAAGATCAGAATCTTTTTCTTTGTATTATGAAAGGTGTGTTGCATTGACATGTTATACGTGTGTTTAAATTGTGAACAATGCAGACATACTGCATTTGTATGCATCACACTTGAGTTGCGTGAACAGGATACATAGAAAACAATTGTTTTCTGTGTCCTAACATTAACTGTGAATTAAATAACATAGCTGAGCACACTTGGTGTAAACTAGTCTTTAACAGAGGCGTCCCTAGGGTTGGTGTCACCCGGTGTGGTAACACTTGGGGACACCCCCTCCGACGATCCCCGCAGTATGGATCGGATATGCGGATTGAGCATAATGGATCGGACTCCAATCCATTATGCTAAATCCGCAGATACGATCAGGGGCAGACTGACAACTCACGGGGCCCCCGGGCAATAGGGGATCATGGGGCCCCTGTGTCCTTGCCCAAACTCAAAAAAGCCAATGAAAAAGGTACCAGGGACATCTCATGGGGCCCCCTACTGACCCCGGGCCCTCGGGCAGTGCCCGAGTTTCCAAATGGTCAGTCTGCCCCTGGATCCGATCCATCCTGCAGGGATCGTCGGCTTTCTTTACAACTAACTTTTTCTTGGAGCGGGTCCAGTGTCACCCCGTATAGGTTGCATGCCGACGATCCCCGCAGGATGGATCCGATCCATCCTGCGGGGATCGTCGGCTTGCTTTACAACTTACCTTTTTGTGGAGCTGGTCCAGTGTCACCCCGTGCGGTCGGTGTCACCCGGTGCGGACCGCACCCCCTGCACCTGCCTCGGGACACCACTGGTCTTTAAAGTCCCTCTTTGGGACAAATATGCCATTCTTCCATATGATCCCTCTAAGTGATTGTGTCCAAGAAAATATTATTTTTACTTATCTGAAGCTGTAATCACATGGACCTTCCCTCCAAAGTTCTTCCTTCTGTTTACTTCGTGGATGGATGCTTCTTCGGGTGTCCATATCACTGACCACATGATGTGGACACTTCCTATAAGATGTCCAGCAGCAATGTCTAGCAGCTGGCACCAAGGGACCTAGACGGGGGTCTTAGGTGACTATATCTGGCTTTGTGCTTTATTAACATCTGCAAGGGGGGGAAAGTGACAGCAGAAATGGGAAGTGAAAAAATTGTATTTCATGTCCCCTGCTGCTTCTTCAACCATACCAAGGGTTTGCCTTGGTAATTGTGAACCTGAACCTCACCCCTACTCCAGAAATATACAGGCACTTCTGCACAACCTCCCATATGGTCTAGCGTTTAGGATTCTTGGTTTTTACCCAGGCAGCCCGGGTCTAACCCCTGGTATAGGAAAAGGGTGCTTTTTAAATTCTGCTATGAATAATCATCAATCTGATTTACATACTGTATATCATAGCCAGGGGCGGGCTGACAACTCATGGGGCCCCCGGGCAATAGGGGATCATGGGGCCCCTGCAGGGGTGGACTGACAACTCATGGGGCCCCCGGGCAATAGGGGATCATGGGGCCCCTGTGTCCTTGCCCAAACTCAAAAAAGCCTATGAAAAAGGTACCAGGGGCATCTCATGGGGCCCCCTACTGACCCCGGGCCCTCGGGCAGTGCCCAAGTTTCTAAATGGTCAGTCCGCGCCTGGGCCCGTGTCCTTCCCCAAACTCAAAAAAGCCTATAAAAAAGGTACCAGGGCATCTCATAGCGCCCGCTACTGACCCCGGGCCGTCGGGCAGTGTCCGAGTTTCCAAATGGTCAGTCCGCCCCTGATCATAGCTAATGATTGATCCATGTAGGTGTATGTATAATAATCATGTGGACTTAAAGTGACACCACGCTCTGGTTTTAAAAAAAAATCGATGTATTTTAAACCTAAAAGTTGACCTTCTATTTATCTAAGCCTCCTCCAGATTCCATTTCCCTGGTTCCATCATGGCACCATATATGTATGTACCACTACCCCCTTAGGAGTTGCTAGAGATTTGGGTTCCCCTATAGTCCTGCACAGGCAACATGCATTCCTCACAGATTTGCATCCAGGAGACAGTAAACAGTCCTTGAGGGGATGAGGGATGAGGGATGGGATGCCCAAGGGAACTGCAGCCAAGGACAACTTCCTGGAACTATGTACAAGTCTTTATGCAGCAAAATCTTTTCTTGGAGAGCTCTCCAGCCTCACCTGGTGTACAACCCCAGATATTCCTTCTCTATCCAGCTGTCTGAAGGAATCCCTGGGCAAGGGGATCCATTGCCTGCCTCTTTAAGATAAACATTCTTGGGTAAGGAGCTAATCTGGTTCTCCACCAGAGTGTTCCTTTCCCCTTTAACTGCCCAGGGGGTGTAGGATTCTTCACTCAGTCCTGTTCCTATGAGCTGGTGGGTTGATAACTGCTTATAGCCATTCCACTGGGCTAGCTCCTTCCCTGCTGCACAGGTGGTCCTCGCCCTGGGGGCAGATGAGGTCTAAGTTTTCCTCCTCTCTAGCACCACTGCCTGGAGGTGGGCCCCTTCCCAACCAGGCTCCCTCCCAGGCTTCTGCACCTCAACTCTCTCACTCCATTTTCCACCCAAACTCCTGCTACTGAGCAGACTGTAGCACATTTATAGTCTGCCCTGGCCCCATGCCAATCCTCCTGCTTGGGGATTAGCCAGGGTCCCCCAAGAGTGCAGGCCAGCCCCTCCTTACAAAAAATTGAACACTAGCTCCCTTGAGCTATCTACAGGGGCGCTACATGTAGTAGTAGCCCCACTTTCTTCCACCCACAGGACCTGTGCATAGCTATAAAGTGTTGATGCCCACACAACAGTGTTGATGCCCACACAACAGCCCCTTTCCTTTTTTGTCCTCATAGATCTCACAACCAGTGTGAAGAGAAGAAATCTATACCTACCACTTTTGGAGGTTGTCTTCACAGGTTAAGCCTTTCCTGTAGCAAAGTCCCTGACCCTGGAAGCTAAAGGCTCTAATAAGGCAGGGAACACCTTCTGTGGACCTTTTGGGCTTCAAAATTTGGTCTAAGTACTGTAGTTCCATATTCATCAGTGCAACCAGGGCTATCTTTCTGGGAAGTGCTCTCCTTGTCTGGAGTTTTCCCAGCCTGCCTCCAAAGAAGTGAAGGGATTCATGGAGCTGTGACACTGCAATTCCAAGAAGTGTTTTTTTTTTTTTATTTTCTGATGTTTGTTAATGTCCTCTGAAATTCTGTGACACATCTCCTCTCTGATGGGTTGCAGCTGCATTGTGTTCCAGTGTGCATTCTAATAGCCATTGTGGAAGGGAAACTAAACAGCATGAGGCATGATCCTGAGCATGTAAATTG